GAAATTCTTTTGAATTATTTTAAAGCAAAAATACAGGAGGAATACTCTGTAATTTGGTTCCAGGGGCAATGGCAAAAAAAAAAATCTCCATGTATTACAGAGTGGAAAAAAATCAAATATTGCTTCTTCCATTATTTTATAATAAGGGCTGCAGCTAAAGGTTTTTATAGCCACAGATCAAGAGATCATAATAGAAGCATATTGACAGATTTTTTTTTTCTGCAATACTCCAAGGAACTGGCGGTAGCAGGAAAATATATCAAAACCTTATCATCAGAGCTGAGATCTTCTGTGAAAAATCAATAAAGAGTTATACATGGTTTGAGTTTAAACAGTTCTCTGTAGTCATTTAAACATAGTGCATCTGTGCAGCTTTTTACCTCTGGAGACTGGTGTAGCCTAGCAACTGCAAGGCTTAAACCGATTAACTACAAATGAAGTACTGTATGCCTATCAAAGCAATTGTTCATGGTTGCCTTTGTTGCAGAGGCTGAGCTAATTGAACATGATACAGTATGAAGATAATTAACACCCATGAGTTTGTTAATTGCCTGTTAGCATTACAACACAGTCTCTTGGTTTCTTTTTAACTTGCTCTCTTGCAGCTTCTTCCTCTCCTAAAAGGGCATGGGACTTATTTAGCTGGCAATATCATAGAGTTTATTAACCCTTTTCAAAAGGAAAAAACATTGTGGTAATGAAGCATATTTGCATGCTCTTGTCAAACACAAGCTCCCATTTAGTCACTGCAATTTATGGAGAACAGAAATTTGTTTTACACAGAGTGTACAAACTATGTTTATTTTCAGGGCTAATTTATTTCAAGCAATTTAGCCATTATAACTGCTTTAAAATATCTTTTGTGGGTTACTTTTATGACTCATCTGCTGTGCCTTCTAAAGTGAGCGATAAATGTCTTTTTGGGTTGGGATATTAATTGAAGGCAGCATCTGGTCAGCAGCTGACCTGCTATATTTGTCGTCTTTGTTGACTATCCAGTTAAAACTAACAGCTTATTTGCTTTATTTACCAGCTTCTCCCCTTCCATGAAGGGTGGTAAACTCAATTTTATCTGTGCTAACATGGAAG